TCTAATGGAGAGGATAAATTGAACCATTGTAGAAAGAGTTCGATGCATGCTCAGTATGGCAAAGCTGCCGAAGCCATTCTGGGGTGAAGTTGTTCGTGTTGCTTGTTATTTGATAAACAGATCACCGTCAGTACTGTTGAATTTTGATATTCCAAAGAAGGTGTGGTCTGGTAAGAATCCCTCCTATTTTCACTAGAGAATATTTGGGTGCAAGGCATTTGAACATGTATCCAAGGAGCAGAGGTAGAAGCTTGATGTCAAGACCACTCTGTGCATCTTTATAGGCTACACAGATGAAGAATTTGGATATAAATTATGGGACCCAAAGGATAAAAAGATCATCAGGAGCAGGGACGTGGTGTTCTATGAAAACAAGGTATATGAGGACTTTGAAAATCCCACAAAGTCTAATAGTTCTAGTTCCAATGCACATGACACTGTTCCAGACCATAATGAAGAAGGTGTTGAGCAGGGAAATTGCAACCCCCTCTACCAGATGCTACAAGACCATCACATCAATCAGATGATGGTATACCTCATACAGCAGACAAGCCTGAATCACGAAGATCTGAAAGATGATATATTTCATCGAGTGGAAATCTGAATTCAGACTATATTCTATTTCTTGATGAGGGGGAGCGAGAGAGCTTCCAAAAAGCACAGGCTCTTACGGATAAAGACAAGTGGATGCAATCTATGTAGGATGAGATGGATTCCTTGCAGAAAAATCAAACTTATGAGCTGGTGAAGCTTTCAAAAGGCAAGAAAGCATTGAGGAATAAATGGGTGTTCAAGCTGAAGAAAGATAGCAGCAAAAAACTGGTGAAGTATAAGGCTTGATTGGTCGTTAAAGGATTCCAACAAAAGAAAGGGATCGACTTTAATGAGATTTTCTCACTAGTTGTTAAGATGTCCTCAATTCGAGTCATTCTCAGACTAGAAGCCAGTTTAAACTTTGAGCTTGAACAAATGGACATGAAAACAACATTTCTTCATGGAGATCTAAATGAAGAAATCTATACGGAACAACCGAAAGGTTTCGAAGTTCCAGGAAAGGAAAATATGGTCTGCAAGTTGAGTTTGACTCATTCATGGTAGGTCAAGGATACAAGAGGACTACTATAGATCAGTGTGTTTATGTTCAGAGATTCTTGGATGGCAATTTTGTTGCACTCCTACTTTATGTTGACGACATGCTAATCGTCAGAAAGGATGCAACAAAGATTAATCAGTTAAAAAAAGGAATTGTCCAAGTCCTTTGACATGAAATACTTATGGCCAACTCAATAGATACTAGGCATATAGATTGCTCGTGAAAGAAAGACCAAGAAATTGTGGCTATCATAGGAGAAATACGTTGAACGGGTGATCCAGAGGTTCAACATGGATACTGCCAAGCTAGTGAGCATTCCACTAGCTAATCATTTCAAGTTAAGTAAGAATTCATGTCCCTCATCGAAGAAGGAGATAGAAGATATGACAACGGTTCCATACTCTTTAGTAGTTGGGAGTCTAATATACGTAATGATGTGTATAAGGCCAGAAATTGCCTATGCAATGGACATGGTAAGCAGATTTCTTTCCAATCCAGTGAAGGAACATTGGGAAATAGTCAAGTGGATTCTTAGATACTTTAAGGGTACATCAAATTTATGTTTGTATTACGAGGGAGGAGAACTAGTTTTGGAAGGCTATACAAAAACAAATATGGCAAGAGATCTTGATGGTAGAAAATTTACATAGGTTTTCTCTACACTTTTATAGGGGGAGCTGTGTCATGGCAGTCAATGTTGCAGAAGTGCATAGCTTAATCCATGACAGAGGTAGAGTATATTGCTGCAGCAGAAGCTGGTAAGGAAATATTGTGCTTAAAGTAGTTTTTCCAAAAACTAGGTATTAAACAGAAGGAATACAAGGTACATTGTGATAGTCAGAGTGCTCTGGACTTGAGCAAGAACTCAATGTACCATTCCTGGATGAAGCATATGGATATTTGTTATCATTGGATATGCGAGGTGATGAAGCAACAATTGTTGAAATTAGTGAAAATCCACACAAAGGAGAATCCANCAGATACTTTAAGGGTACATCAAATTTATGTTTGTATTACGAGGGAGGAGAACTAGTTTTGGAAAGCTATACAAAAACAAATATGGCAAGAGATCTTGATGGTAGAAAATTTACATTAGGTTTTCTCTACACTTTTATAGGGGGAGCTGTGTCATGGCAGTCAATGTTGCAGAAGTGCATAGCTTTATCCATGACAGAGGTAGAGTATATTGCTGCAGCAAAAGCTGGTAAGGAAATATTGTGCTTAAAGTAGTTTTTCCAAGAACTAGGTATTAAACAGAAGGAATACAAGGTACATTGTGATAGTCAGAGTGCTTTGGACTTGAGCAAGAACTCAATGTACCATTCCTGGATGAAGCATATGGATATTTGTTATCATTGGATATGTGAGGTGATGAAGCAACAATTGTTGAAATTAGTGAAAATCCACACAAAGGAGAATCCAGCAGACATGTTGACAAAGGTGGTTACTCAGCAGAAGCTTGAGTTGTGCAGATATATAGTTGGGATGAATGTCTGAATACATTCTCTTCTAATGGTTCTGGAGGGGGAGAATTGAAGGATCCAAAAGCCTTATCCCGAAGCTTTCGCCGGAAAAGTTGTCGCCGAAAAGATCGTTGCCGGAAATTTTTCTGCTAGAGTTTTTGCCAACTAGAATTTTTGGAAGCCCACTTTTTTTTTTGCTACAAAGTCCCAATAAATAGAGGGCCTAATGAAAGTCAAAATCATTTCACAAAATAGTGAGAGAGAGGGAGAAAGAGAGAGATCCCATAGAGGTCTTGAGAGTTTTCTTGTGAAAAATTCTTGAATTTATTTCTTGAGAGAGATAAAATATTCCTCTCTGTTTATATATCATGTTAGATGCGATTTTCTGGCCTGGATCTCCAACAGTTTGTGTATAATGCTAATATTTCCAACATCAGGCACTGCCTAGGTGTTCCCTTTTNAGAGAGAGGGAGAAAGAGAGAGATCCCATAGAGGTCTTGAGAGTTTTCTTGTGAAAAATTCTTGAATTTATTTCTTGAGAGAGAAATAAAATATTCCTCTCTGTTTATATATCATGTTAGATGCGATTTTCTGGCCTGGATCTCCAACAGTTTGTGTATAATGCTAATATTTCCAACATCAGGCACTGCCTAGGTGTTCCCTTTTTCTCCATTAAAGTGATCCAAAGGAAAAAATTCCCAGAAAGCCAGGTTTTTTGTGGCATATAGATCTAGTTTAAATTTAGTAGAGATGCCATATATTCGTTTTCTACTGTTTATGTGCTCCCTTGTTTGAGGAAGTTTTGCCGAGACTCACCTTAAGAAGGCTGAGGAGACCCTCTAGAAAAAGAGAAGGTATAGGGTGAAATCCTGAAAAGCTGGACAAAGAATTGATCCTCAAACAGCAGCTGTTTCCAGCTAACTTGTGATGATATTTGACTAAGGGTTCTGCTTCACACATGCTCACTAGCTCTGCAACTCATTTCGAAACACAAATGGGGGTATATGTGATCAATTGTTGCGTACTGCTGCTATCCTATCTAGGTTGCTTGCTCTGGGACTCTTGTCCTTGATTAATTTGTTTGCTCTGGGACCCAAATTACTAATGATTCCTAATAAAAGTTTATGTCTCAACTTTGGAAACAGTGAACTTGGAGATTAATGATGGAAGAATCACAGCAGTCCACCCGATATGTATTAGTTTTAACATAGGAAGAATCACAACTTTCCTAATATATTTGCCTCAATTTTTTTGTTCCTTCAATCCAAACAGAAACTAAAAAACATAATCACGAACGTGGAGTAACAAGCCAGTTGTAATCTTTTTTTTTTTTTTAAAGAATGGGACAACATATTCAATTAAAGCCTAACATATATATATATATATATATACACTAGTAAAGGCACGGCGTGCATTGGACGTAAACAAATTTAAATAATATAAAAAATATGAATTATATGTGTAATTAAATTAAATAATAAATTAGGTGCCAAATATTTAATCACTTTATGAACCAATTACCACATTTCTTTCAGCAATTGCAAAGCACACCAGCGTCTCCGGTGAGTAAAAATGTTCAGTTTTCAAGGTTGCAATGTTGCCTAATGGGTGCGAGACATGCACGAGATTCACTTGGGTTTCATAACATTAGATCTACGCCTAATCTATTTCCTTTAATCCCCTTAATAAAGACTAAACTGGATGTCATTTGGCTTCCGTGGTTCATATTTTGTTGTGAAAAAAAATACCGAGTTATATAGGCACAGAAAATATGACATTTAAAATACCGACTAGTGCGAGGAAGAAATGCAATTTTACTTTTAATGTGAAAAAAATATGTACAACTTCCTGGTTTTTTTTCCAAAATTAATAAATGCAATGAGTAAAAAATATTATTTCCGTTGTCATTCTGTAGTTAGTGTTGGCCTTCTTGTATTTACTAAAGAGCAATGTTATTGGGATATAATTTATGAATATAATTTGAAGACATAATGAGTTATCACAAATGATATGATAATGAATTCATTAATACTACAATGAAACCTATCATCAAATACATTTCACTATCATTTCATTGGTGACAACTCATTATGTCTCTAAATTATGTTCTTTAATTATGTTCCAATGTTTACTAAATGTTGACGGCGATTTCAACCATTGCTTCTCTCTGTCTATATACTTTCTTGATATATCACAAGAATGAGTTGTAATTGACATTCGTTTCTCTCTGGACCCACTTTAGTGACGGAAAGGGCAAACCAAACAAGAAGGTTAAAAGAATGAAACGGGCGAAAATGAAAGGTGGTAAAAAGAATACAGATTGGAATCTCCGTACGTTAAAGAATTCTGTTCCCAACTTCTTATTATAAATATATATAGACTATAGTGGTAGTAATAGCATACAGATTCGGATCTTTTTCGTGCACTTGTGTTGTGTGTGAAACATGGAGCATTCGGAGAGCAATACAACTCCAGTGTCATCTGAGCCCAAGAAGCCTGCTCTGGACAAACTCACGTCTGAACCATCTGGTGAGCTTCATTCACCCTCTTCTACTTTATTCCAATGATGGAAAGAAGAAACACCAATGAAAAGTTTTCCAATATAGATAGATACAGAAGATTTTTGTCTCTTTTGGAGCTGCTTTATATCTTTACTACGTTTTCATTTATGTTTGATATGCTTCGTATTAGGTCTGTCAAACTTCAATACAAATGCTTATTCATCCAAATCCGTTTCGTTTGGATCGAAAATAAACTATACGTATTAGACGGTAGACGCATACGAGCATACCCATATAAACCCGTGCGAGGATGAAGGCGGGGATAGACCGACACTTATCCCTTTCTCGCCCCGCTTTACCCGTTATTATTATTTTTATTTTATATATATACATATTGCTATGAATAAAATATACATATTATTAAATAATTTTTTAAAAAAAAACTATTTATTTTTTAATTTATTTTTTCATGTTTTTGACTTGTAAAAGTGTAGATTTTTGTGTTTTTATATTTTTTTTTTATGTTGGATTATGTTATGTTATATTATATTATGTTGCATGATGCATTGGATTTACATGGGAGATAGAATTTTAATTATATTATGTTGAATTATATTGTAAATAAAGTTTTAATTATATTATGTTGGATTATGCTGTAAATGTTAAACCTTGAATTATGTTATGATATTTTATAATTATGTTGGATTATTTAGAATGTTAGATTTATTTAAAATTTTGGATTATGTTGGCTTAGACTTGAGCTTGAGCTTAGCTTGGGTTTGGGCTTGAGCTTGGGCTGGGACGGGTAAGGTGGACGGGGGCAAGGGTGAAGGCGGGGGAATGGGACGGGAGTGAGGATTACAAATTTATCCTCAGACAAGCATGGAGATAAAAATTATACCCGTTAACAGAAGTGGTAGACGGAATTTTTTTAAACAGGTACGGAGATGGAGACTATACCCCCGCCCCCACTTCGGATTAAACGAGTCGTGTCATATTACCAATTTATTAAATGATTCATATTTATGTTGAGATTTTTTATCTATTTATTAAACTTGTCATGTTTGAGTTTACATGTTTTTCAACGGTCATCCATTTAATCCAACACTTTGACACCCCTACTTCTCATCCTTGTGACTCCCAACCATTATTCTCTAGTATTACACGTCCAAAATGGCCATTAATTAAGCAGTTGGATTTTAAACACCCTTTGATCTTTGTCATTATCATCAATGCATACACCCTTTCTTTTTACGTGCGCTTTCTTTTTTCCATCTTAAACAGCAAGTTTTTATGATCCATGTTCATGAGAACCTGGTTGGTATATATACTGCTGAAACAAAGTTTTCTGCAGATGAGGTGAATGATTCTCCAATTGAGCAAGTCCGACTCACAGTCCCAATTACGGATGATCCATCGTTACCATGCTTGACCTTCCGGACATGGGTTCTGGGGCTCACTTCTTGCGCTCTTCTGGCGTTCTTGAACCAATTCTTTGGTTATCGCCAGAATCCACTATATGTGTCCTCTGTTTCAGCCCAAATTGTGGTACTTCCCATTGGAAAGCTTATGGCTGCATATCTGCCCAACAAATCAATACGCATTCCCGGAACCAAATGGTCCTTTTCGTTAAATCCGGGGCCTTTCAACTTGAAAGAGCATGTTCTGATCACCATATTTGCTAATTCAGGCTCAAGTCCTGTTTACGCATTGGGCATTATTACNTTATCAAATACATTTCACTATCATTTCATTGGTGACAACTCATTATGTCTCTAAATTATGTTCCAATGTTTACTAAATGTTGACGGCGATTTCAACCATTGCTTCTCTCTGTCTATATACTTTCTTGATATATCACAAGAATGAGTTGTAATTGACATTCGTTTCTCTCTGGACCCACTTTAGTGACGGAAAGGGCAAACCAAACAAGAAGGTTAAAAGAATGAAACGGGCGAAAATGAAAGGTGGTAAAAAGAATACAGATTGGAATCTCCGTACGTTAAAGAATTCTGTTCCCAACTTCTTATTATAAATATATATAGACTATAGTGGTAGTAATAGCATACAGATTCGGATCTTTTTCGTGCACTTGTGTTGTGTGTGAAACATGGAGCATTCGGAGAGCAATACAACTCCAGTGTCATCTGAGCCCAAGAAGCCTGCTCTGGACAAACTCACGTCTGAACCATCTGGTGAGCTTCATTCACCCTCTTCTACTTTATTCCAATGATGGAAAGAAGAAACACCAATGAAAAGTTTTCCAATATAGATAGATACAGAAGATTTTTGTCTCTTTTGGAGCTGCTTTATATCTTTACTACGTTTTCATTTATGTTTGATATGCTTCTTATTAGGTCTGTCAAACATCAATACAAATGCTTATTCATCCAAATCCGTTTCGTTTGGATCGAAAATAAACTATACGTATTGGACGGTAGACGCATACGAGAATACCCATATAAACCCGTGCGAGGATGAAGGCGGGGATAGACCGACACTTATCCCTTTCTCGCCCCGCTTTACGCGTTATTATTATTTTTATTTTATATATATACATATTGCTATGAATACAAATATACATATTATTAAATAATTTTTTTTAAAAAACTATTTATTTTTTAATTTATTTTTTCATGTTTTTGACTTGTAAAAGTGTAGATTTTTGTGTTTTTATGTTTTTCTTTTGTTGGATTATGTTATGCTATATTATATTATGTTGCATGATGCATTGGATTTACATGGGAGATAGAATTTTAATTATATTATGTTGAATTATATTGTAAATAAAGTTTTAATTATATTATGTTGGATTATGCTGTAAATGTTAAACCTTGAATTATGTTATGATATTTTATAATTATGTTGGATTATTTAGAATGTTAGATTTATTTAAAATTTTGGATTATGTTGGCTTAGACTTGAGCTTGAGCTTAGCTTGGGTTTGGGCTTGAGCTTGGGCTGGGACGGGTAAGGTGGACGGGGGCAAGGGTGAAGGCGGGGGAATGGGACGGGAGTGAGGATNTTGGCTTAAACTTGAGCTTGAGCTTAGCTTGGGTTTGGGCTTGAGCTTGGGCTGGGACGGGTAAGGTGGACGGGGGCAAGGGTGAAGGCGGGGGAATGGGACGGGAGTGAGGATTACAAATTTATCCTCAGACAAGCATGGAGATAAAAATTATACCCGTTAACAGAAGTGGTAGACGGAATTTTTTTAAACAGGTACGGAGATGGAGACTATACCCCCGCCCCCACTTCGGATTAAACGAGTCGTGTCATATTACCAATTTATTAAATGATTCATATTTATGTTGAGATTTTTTATCTATTTATTAAACTTGTCATGTTTGAGTTTACATGTTTTTCAACGGTCATCCATTTAATCCAACACTTTGACACCCCTACTTCTCATCCTTGTGACTCCCAACCATTATTCTCTAGTATTACACGTCCAAAATGGCCATTAATTAAGCAGTTGGATTTTAAACACCCTTTGATCTTTGTCATTATCATCAATGCATACACCCTTTCTTTTTACGTGCGCTTTCTTTTTTCCATCTTAAACAGCAAGTTTTTATGATCCATGTTCATGAGAACCTGGTTGGTATATATACTGCTGAAACAAAGTTTTCTGCAGATGAGGTGAATGATTCTCCAATTGAGCAAGTCCGACTCACAGTCCCAATTACGGATGATCCATCGTTACCATGCTTGACCTTCCGGACATGGGTTCTGGGGCTCACTTCTTGCGCTCTTCTGGCGTTCTTGAACCAATTCTTTGGTTATCGCCAGAATCCACTATATGTGTCCTCTGTTTCAGCCCAAATTGTGGTACTTCCCATTGGAAAGCTTATGGCTGCATATCTGCCCAACAAATCAATACGCATTCCCGGAACCAAATGGTCCTTTTCGTTAAATCCGGGGCCTTTCAACTTGAAAGAGCATGTTCTGATCACCATATTTGCTAATTCAGGCTCAAGTCCTGTTTACGCATTGGGCATTATTACGATCGTGAAGGCATTCTATAAGCGGAAGATTAATGCTGTGGCAGCGATGTTACTAACGCAGACTACTCAGGTTCATTTATTTCGGTCCAACTTATCTAGTCTACTCAATTTATTTATACTTGCTTGTATTTGTAACCAACACTTATATTACTGTCAATATTTATCATCCGTGCCCATGTTCATTGTGAAACTGTCTATAAGAGGACGTGTTATATTCAATGAAAATTGTATCTTGCCTCAAACTTTCCGAATATTCTCCGTTCTTTTTTTTTTTTTCTTTGTTTTCTCTGATGGTTCTTAATTGCTGGAATATATAGTTGCTTGGATATGGCTGGGCTGGTATTTTCCGGAAGTTCCTAGTTGATTCACCATACATGTGGTGGCCTTCCAATATGGTTCAGGTTTCTCTCTTTAGGTGATCTCTCTCTCCCTCCCTCTCCTTCTTCGTGTGTGTGTGTGTGTTCCTGCTCAAACTCTATTTTGAACTTTTAGGGCTTTGCATGAGGATGAGAATAGGCCAAAAGGAGGCCTGACGAGACTGCAGTTCTTCCTTGTGGTCCTTATATCAAGCTTCTCATACTACATCGTGCCTAACTTTCTGTTTCAATCTGTAACTGCTCTCTCCTTTGTCTGTTGGATATGGAAGGACTCTGTCACAGCACATCAAATTGGTTATGGTCTCGCTGGCCTCGGTGTTGGCTGATTTGCTCTTGATTGGGCAACCGTATCAGCATTCTTGGGAAGTCCCTTAGCCACCCCTGGATTTGCTATCATGAATGTCCTGGCTAGTTTTATTATAGTTCTCTACATTATGATCCCAATTGCCTACTGGAGCAACCTGTACGGAGCCAAACGATTCCCAATTTACTCTACAGATGTGTTCGATGCTGATGGAGGATCATACAATGTTTCAACTATTTTAAATGAGACAACCTTCCAATTCATTCAGCAAGGATATGATGATTATAGCAAGGTTAATTTGAGCATCGCATTTGTATTTGCCTATGGGGTAAGCTTTGCAACATTGGCCGCCACAATCTCTCATGTTGCACTCTTCCATGGGAGGTATATTTCTTGTTCTCGCTTGCATTTATTTTCTACAGATTAGTGTAAACACGGGCTGGATGTGTAATTCTGGTTATCCTGGTTTGTCAATTTCAGAACAATTTGGCGACAATCAAAGGCATCTGTGCAAGACAGTTTTGGTGATGTCCACACTAGACTAATGAAGAAAAACTATGATCCTGTCCCTCAGTGGTGGTTTCACACAATCTTGATAGTGGTAATTGGACTGGCATTGCTTGCCTGTGAAGGATTTGGCAGACAATTATAGCTTCCTTACTGGGGAGTCCTATTGGCAATTGTTTTGGCTCTGTTCTTCACCCTTCCAATTGGTGTGATTACCGCTACGACAAACCAGGTATGTATCACAAGGTTTTTTAGTGACTTTTTTTTCCTTCTATTACTTGATCAGATTGTGAAATATTTGTACAGCAACCAGGATTAAATGTCATCACCGAGCTGATTATTGGTTACATGTATCCGGGCAAACCGCTTGCCAATGTGGCCTTCAAAACCTATGGTTACATAAGCATGTCACAAGCCATTACGTTTCTCTCCGATTTTAAGCTAGGTCACTACATGAAAATCCCCCCAAAATCCATGTTCCTTGTTCAGGTAATCGCTAAGCTTAGCTGCCCCCGTTTCAACTCCTTTTAATTACCATTTTTTGATTGATCTAACTGGGGCAGAATGGAATTGTTTAAGTGACACTAACACTTGATCATAATTTGGTAATTAAATTAGTGGGAACACTAGTTGCATCATCGGTCTACTTTGGAACAGGTTGGTGGCTCCTGACCACGGTGGAATTCATATGCAATAAATCTAAATTGCCTGAAGGAAGCCCGTGGACATGCCCTGGAGATGATGTATTCTACAACGCATCAGTGATATGGGGTGTTGTTGGGCCTCTCCGCATGTTTGGTAGGCTTGGAATATATTCCAAGATGAATTATTTCTTTCTGTTTGGGATTCTTTCACCTTTGCCTGTTTGGTTCCTTTCTCGGAAATTTCCAGAGCAGAAATGGATAAAGCTAATAAACATGCCGATTATTCTGTCAAGTGCCCCGGGGCCACCAGCCAGGGCCGTAAACTACATCTGTTGGTTGGCTGTGGGCATTTTCTTCAACTTCGTCGTGTATAGGAGGTATAAGGGTTGGTGGGCGAGGCATAACTACATTCTATCTGCAGGGCTTGATGCTGGGGTTGCTTTCCTGGCCATACTTTGCTACTTCACATTACAGGGACACGGTATCAATGGAGCCGCGTGGTGGGGTATGAAGTTAGATGATCATTGCCCTTATGCAAGTTGTCCTACTGCCCCTGGTATACATGTTGAAGGTTGTCCCCCACTGGTTAAAGCTTGAAGGCTTGTCCTCCTCCCTTCCATTGATAGATTCTTATTTGCCTTAATTTCGGTTAATGTATGCACTGGAATACCAAGTTGGTGTATACAACTAAATTAAAGAAGCACACACCCGAGAACACAAATAAAAAATGTTTGGTGTTACTATGTGGAAGACCTTTTAAATTTAAAAATCTCGTGCATGAAAATATTCCTAATATTAGATATATTTATATATGAATCACCATATACATCAAGTTGCTCCAGAAACAAGCATATGGAACATAATCATCCGGAAACAGTTGGTGCTATATATGCACAGAAAAAGGAAAACAAATTATAATAAACCCCAAACTAGTTAGGTGGTA